ATGATTATTCACCATTTTCTTCTGATGACCCACTCTTCGCCAGAGTCTACCGGCCAGGGAGCCACCACTCACATGGACTGATATAGACAGAGTGCTCTGGGGAGCTCTGAGGCCACCCAGACAGCCACCTCACTGCGGTGCACCTCACTTACCCCTGGGACCAGGAGCTGTCTTCCAAAGTCTACCTGCCCAAGGTGGTTCTGGCACTGCAAAGAGGTAGACAGGAGAGGGATCTGCAGGTCTGCCCAAGGATTTGAGAAGCAGAACTTTTTTGTGGTACCTGGGGTCACACGTGGGCCTGCCACTGAGCTATCTCCCCAGCCCGAGAAGCAGAACTTTTGAAGAAACAGCTGTGTGTTGTAAAGAGCAGTGCATAGGTTCCTTCTTTAGTCTCTGCCTTTCCTCCTAGAATTTCCATTCCTAGCTATGGGGAGATAAGATACCTGCTCAAAAGGACTGCATATTTATAATGTAGATACATAAATATACATGCGTATATAAATATTTCTTTAAATAATGAAAACTTTTAGTGGACTGGAGTAGGAAAATAAATCATAACTCACAAGGCTTTATATCCACTTAATCCACATTTACTAAATTATGGGAGTCCCAAAGCACATTTGTCAAAATATATACAGCAAAATCAGCTTTAGAAAAAAAAAATCTATGACCCCTGAGCTTTAACTTACTAACCTTTAGGATAGGGTGTTTTTACCTAAGAAATGTGGAATTAGACCAGTAGTACATATTTTGAAAATACATTCTCTATACACAATGCCAGCCTTAGATGGGTCAACTACATATTGTCTTATGTATAATAAACATAAGACAATTGATGTAATCTGAATTGGATCACTCAGATGTTCTCCGCTGTTGTTCAAGTAAGCAGAAAGTGGTGAAAAGAACATGAAGTCTGTACTAAGAAAAATCATCAACAGAGTGACTACAGAGCCACCACTTATAGAAAATATTGAGCTTCAGTTTCTAATTAGTACAAGGAGAGGAAGATAATTTCTACCCGACTATCTCAACATCATCAAATGTGAGGATTTTGCCCAATGCCGCACATAAATATATTCATAGCAAATGCACATTATTAGTAGGACTTTGGTTTATGTATAGCTGCAGAGCCAGAGGAGGCTTGGAACGAAAATAAGTATGTAATTTCCAAGTTGTAAATCCTGTTCTTTCTACATCCTGTGGGCTCCTATTGTAACAATCCAGTGATTTGTATAAATTTGTTTTGTCTAAAACAGAATCTCTCAATGAACTCCACATTTCAATTTATAATCAAGGTGGAAAGTGCTTCCCTGGCTGTATAAATAACAGCATGCTATTTGTATAAATAACCTGAGACTTTGCACCTGCTGGTGACAGCAGAAGCTCTGTCCCTGGGCCGCTGTCACATCCCTGATCTCTCCACACTTGGTAGTTGTCTGCATCATGGAGAGGGTATGTCTGCATCACACCTGGAGCCTTCTACGAATGTCCCCTGTCTGACTTTAGGTCACTGTGCCTGTGTGTGCTAGGAACTAGGCACAGTCCGCCCTAGAGGGGCATGCTATCTGCTCCAGGCAGGTTAGGCTGTGATGTCCCCAAGGAGCAGGAAGGGCCACTTCACGATGGTGATCAGACCAAAGAAGGTATCTTTTCTGTCCACTGTCTGGCATCCTGTGCTCTCACTGTGACCCCCACATTGAAGACATTCCTACAGCATGGGTTTGTGTTTGTTGATAGTGACAGTGGCATGAACTCTTGAGTAAAGTAAACTATGATGCACTTATTGAGGAGGGCAGGAGAATAGAAGGCCAGCAGGTTGATGCTGTTCAAAGCCTTATTTTAATAAAACATCACTAACAGTGTGTTCATGAAAAAATGACAGCTAGATGAACAAAGCTCTCCAGCTCTTTTGATCTAGAATCTTTCTGCAGATTCCTGACCCTCATGGGCTATGAAATACAGGGAGAATAATCCACTGGGAATTTTGACGTGCGAGGATGGTAAATGGTGTCTCAGAGTACCCGCTTGTGGGGGGCCTCCATGGAGATTTCTCCCTGTGTCAGAAAGGTTGTCCCTGTGCAGGTCTCTCCAGGAAGCAGGCAGCAGACCTGGAAATCAAACAAGCCTCTGGTGTCCTCTACAGAGAAGTGGCAACACTCAAAGTCACAGGGGAGTGTCCCCTATGAGAGAGAGACACTGTTGTTGACTCTGGCAGCTCCTGTGTTTGGTGTCTGAAAGGCATGAAGCACATGCTTCCTGGGAGTGTGTGAGCACCCAGCAGGTGGATGCAGCTGTCTCACGTTGGCAGCTGCTTGTCTGCTCCAGAGCAGCTCCTTGGGGCTGCACCGAGCTCCTGTTGCTCAGGGACTCATTTAAAGTCCAGGTAGTGGATGAGTGTGGGCATCGCGTAACTGTGCAGCAGCTGCTTCTGTGCATTGGAACCCAGTATCAGTCGCTCACAACGAATCCTGCGTTCTGCTGCTCTCCCGGGATCAGGCATTCTGGGACCTCCTTGCTCACCTGCTGATGTCTGGGCATGGTCACCACGCCAGATGTGCTCAGGAAATTAGTCATCCTGGGACCCTCACCCTAAACACGCAATCCTCTGATGATAACTCTCAGGCACCCACTTATGATGGCCTTGCTTGAATTAGTTCAGCAAAAATGTCTTGGGGTTTGAGCTGCTGTCTGGCTTTTTAAAACAGTCATGTTCCAAGTGTTCAAGTCACAAAACCCAACCCTAGCCAGTGACATTCTCATGCTGGTTCAGTAAGGCAATTTTCCAAATGTGCCACTTTGTATGTCAGAAGGTAGATTACTTGCACAATCACCCTAAATAAACTAAGCTTGAAAAGTTTAAGTCTAGGACATAAAGAGCAGAAATGAAATTTGGTTAAGATGCTTGGTTAAGTTACACATATCTCGAACCTCTTACCTTAATCCACAGCACAAAAAATCCATAATTTAAAATGTTCATGTCTACTGCCTTCCAAATAGCATGAACATTTTAAAAAGTAGTACTTTAGACCTTCTGAATAATAAGCCTTGGCCAAAATACAAATCATGCATGGATCTCAACTAATGATGTCACCTCCAACTACTGCACACATCTAACGTGGCGCTGGCACCTAATTCACTTGGCCGGTCTCCTCTCCAACTCTCCACATATTTAATTGCACAAAATATGGTTTCTAATCCTTAGCATCTCAGTAAGGGCAGCGGTGCATTCTGTCTCCAGTGGAGGAGGCAGAGTCCGTAGCAACCCTCCCGGCACGTCTGTTTTGTGCCAGTGCCTCCTGTTCTTTGTTAAATCTTCCCCCATGTGACACCTTATAGTATCAAGTCAGGAAAATCTTGGATGTCATACCTGGAAGGTTGACTATGGCATGGTTTCTCTTCTACGAGAAGCCCAAACTATAAATAATTTAAGGGACAAAGGAAAGAGGAGGTGGTAGCACCCATGGAAGTAAGAGTTTCTGGAGATGGGGAAAAGGCTTTGGGAAAGGAGATGGAGGGGAGGTTCGGGGGAGAAAAGGAAAGAAGATGATCAGGCTGTGCTAGATAATAATTCCCCCAAACAAGTGTGATTGTTGTGCATCACAAACACAGACTCTTACAAATTGGGGAAGAGTATGTTTTAATTTATGCAATTTATATGCGTATGTCTATATGTCTAGTTACATATGCATATTTACTTATAGGCGTAAACCTAAGTGGGAAATTGTTTTCATAAGAATTAAAAAAAGATCTTCATTTATTTATTTGGTACAGGGTCTTGCAACGCAGCTCGGATTTGTAGTGATCCTGTCTCAGCCTCTCCAGCACTGGGTTACATGTGTGCACCACCATGCCCAGTTTTGGGACATGCACAGCATGCACAGGGTTCTGGGGCTGGCATGGCAGGCAATACTGGGGATAGAACTCTGTTTTTTTCACTTGCTAGGCAGGTACTTAGACCACTGAGCTATCTCTCTAGTTTGTTTTTGTGAGAATTTTAAGCCAGTGAATCAGGCTACAATTGTGGCATAAAATTCTGACTTTCTTATAAGACGCTTGTGACTTCTGAGTGGGGAACAGCCCTGTCTGTCTGCCCACAGGACCCACAGCCTGTGACCCAAGGCTTTCTACTGACTCAAATGATGGCCTTTGTGTTGAGGAGTTCCTCTCTTGGACCTGAGATTCTTGAAGAGCTCTGAGCCCAAGGAGCAAGGGGAAGAACATGCTCTGTCACGTGGCCACATTGTCATTGCTTTGGCGTATTGCTAAGAGGCAGGCTGTGAGCCACCATGTCTCTCTAGGCTCTTGAGAACACTCTCTTGATAGAAAAGAAATGACTTTCAAGAAAGGGCATTTCAAAGTCATGTTTTTGAGTTTTATCCTGACAGGAAGTTGGATGGAGTTGTCTCAAGTGCACTGTGACAAGCTCCCCGTATGGCAGTTGCTGTGGTGTTGAGTGCCCCAGACAGGAAGCAAATGACAATTTTCTCTCCACTGCATTTCTCTGCATTGTTCTCATTTCTCTTGCACCAAATCAAGCTGTGGCAATTGACAAAGTCCACCTAACAGCCAGTGGGAGAGGACCCTCTGGCTGGGAGGCAGGCGAACTAAGGACATCCCACAGCACCCTTGGGTCAGTAAGAGCATCCCTGGCATAGAACTTTCAAGAGAATGGAAAACTAGTGACCAAGGATTCTAAATTACTTTTGTTGCTCAGTTTTGCTGAGCTAATCAAATATGCACACCATAAATATCTCAGTAAATTGCTGTGACCACCAAACCGAAAAACAATGTGACCAAAAACAAAATTTAAAGCCTAGAAGATAATTTAAATAAGTCCTCTAAGACAGTGCTTCTTAAGCATATTATCTTTTCAGCAGTGATCAAGCCGATTTGTTCCTATAGCAAAGTTAGGGTACCAGGGATTGTTAACACTGTAGAATTCACACCCAACACCAGGCCCACATCACCATGTGACACTTTGCTAGTATTTTAAAGATTACCGTTTTCCTCCTCCTCCTCCTCCTCTTCCTCATCTTCTTCCTCCTCCTCCTCTTCCTCCTCCACATCCTCTCCATCCTCCTCCTCCTCTTCTTCCTCCTCCTCGATCTCTTCCTCCTCCTCCCGGTCCACCTCATCATCCTCTTCATCCTCATCCCCTTGCTCCTCATTGTCCTCAGAGAACTCCTCCTCCTCCTCCTCATCCTCCTCCTTCTCATCCATGTCTTCCGTCCCATCACTCTCGTAGCATTCGTCCACCGAGGAGCTGTCTGCTTTCACTGCAAATGGTTTTCGCTTGGGAGCTGGTTCTTGGGGCTGCTTATCTTGTGTTTTTCTTTTTTTAGCCAAGGGACAACCATATACACTGATAAAAAATAGAGAAAGAGGGAGAGAGAGAGAGAAAGAGAGAGAGAGAGAGAGAGAGAGAGAGAGAGAGAGAGAGAGAGAGAGTTGTGTTATTGTCTTTAAGGATCAGAGCAATAGGAGAACCTGATGGGGATATTTAAGGCTGAGCATGAACCACATCGAGGTGGATGCCAGAGGTGCTTGGACCCTCGCGTCACTCAAGTGCTGAATTCTGTTACTGAAATTGCATTCCAAGGAAACATAGTTTGCATTGTCTGCTGCCATTAATATTTACTCTGGGTCTCCCAATTCCTCCTTCCTGTGGTTTCAGATCTATGGAGGTGCTGGTGAGATTCCTTAGCATGGCTTATGAGACATTTGTATGAGCTGTGCAGCATGCAGGTGACAACGCAAATTCAATTTTTTTCAACGTTTTACCAGATATGCAGCATGTGTGATGTATATTTAAAACAATATTGATTTTATGCATGCTTTTTTAACTTATAGAACTGACATAAACTATAAATGTGTGCTGGGTTGTGAATAAGCTTTGGGTTTGTATATTCTGGAGATAAAAGTACACCTTTCTTTCTGGTAAAAGTAGATATGATGGCCTATGGAAAGAAGAGAAGCCACGTATGTACTTGTGGCTTGTTCACAAGAGGAAGCTGTGCAGATCCCTGTCCATCCTGAATAGGATGGGTCCAGCTACAGAGTTTCAAAGAGGATGACCTATATGTGAATGGAAGTTACCACCAAATCAGGCTAAAATTGGTCCAAACTTGGGTAAGACCCCCACAGCATCAGCTCACAAAACTTCCCGGAGAAAGGGCAATTTGCCAAAGCTATGCTGTCAACTTAGTCTTATTGTTTTCTTTCTGGAAATCCTATACATGGTGCAATTAATTAGGGAGAAAAAAGGAGGTGAAAGTACTGCAGACGAGTATCGAATGTATCTAAGGTGTGGTGTGTGACCTGGCTGCTGACTGAGTCTGTGCAGACTCCTGGAGCCTCGGACTGCAAATGGAGGAAGGATCACCTGGCCTTGAGGGTTCAGGCATGATGACCCCTTGTCCCAAGATCTGAGGTTCAGCGGGGACTCGGGTGTGTCAATGGCACCTTCTTAAATCCACTTATTGCTGCTCAACACAGTCCCACTGAAGCTATACTCAGCCCACATGTGCTGAAGCTGGGATGAGCATCACAGAGCCTCTGACACAGGCTCTGGCCACGTTCAGGTCACGTACGATGCTCTGGGTGCTTATACTGGAAATACGGAGCCATTCGAACTCTTCCAACCCCTTGCTGATGTGATCAAGTTGGAAGCTTGGAAAAGTCGTGGCATTGGCCAGCTGTGCATGGGGGGCACTTTGGGGTGTAAAGCTGAGGGCCAGATGGAGATCAGCTAGCCCTGCTTGGAGGCAGAGGGTGAAACAGAAGGGAGGAGGGCAATCAGATTGCCAGTGGGCAGCTCTGTGGGGAACCACAGAACGAGGGAACCTGGGCTGTATACCCAGATGCCTGGCCACCTCTACCAGACAGGAGAGACAGGCCTGGGCAGGTGCTGGGAGCAGGAACTTGGGAGCAGGACAAAGGACACACCAGATGAATGTCCAGGGGTGGACTTGAGTCGTCAGCTGAGAATGAGAAATACTCATGTTGTATAGTTGCCTCATGGATGAAATGGAAAAGAAAGAAAACACAGAGGCAGTTCCTTCCATGTCCAGCACGCGCTAGGTATTCAGTGCATGGCAGTGTCTACAAAATCATGGTACAAGATCACCTCTGCTGTCGTATTACTGCCTGGGTGACCAGATATCCAGCAAATATGTCACTCCTCAGGGTTCTGGAAACTAACTCTTTTTAAATATCACTTTTTCATCTTTTTTTTAAAGAAAGGAAAGATTTATTTAGCTCACAGTTTGTGGAGGTTTCAGCCCATAACCTCCCTACTCCTAAGACAAGGAGGCGACTGGCTCTATCACAGGGATGCCCACACTGCGGGTCATTTTCCCTCATGGCTTGGCTATTGCATCATTCCACAGAGGCAATGTCATTCATCACGTGTCCTGGAGGATCTGCAGGATGAAACACCCTGAGTCTGGAGATGTCCCTTCCACTTTGCCCTGGACTGGCCAGGACAGAGTCCCTGCTTCCGTTAGAATGTCGAGGTTCTCATCTGTGCAGTGAGGGGAGGGATGAATTTGTGAGCGCTGCCAGTCAGGACATGTGGGGTGACTGGTCAACTGATTGCAGAGCCACCCCCATAGGAACACCAGAAGGGAAAGAAGAGTGACTATAATGACCCTGCAAAGTTGAAGGGAACAATCATTACACAGCGTTCTGGGTAGGAAGTAGAAAGCTTTTAGAGGATTTCTGAGACTGCTTCCCGGCGGACTTTCTCATCTGCTCTGCAGGTCCTGGGTCTGCTGCCTCAGACATGGGCAGGTTTGCCCACACTCTGTGCTTGCCAAGTCCAACTTCCTCACCACCCACCTCTTGGGGGTGCTTCTATCTTGGGGTACTGGCTGTTACCCTCTGATCCAGACAATGCCACAGTGGATGAAGATAGCCCCTGGCTGCCTTTCTCTGTCCCTCTCATAGCATTAGGGGTTGAACCCAGGGCCCTTGCACTGAGTTGCATCTCGGACTCCCCCACCTTAAAATTTCTTTCTCTCTCACTAAGTCCTTCAGTTGCCTGTCCTGGCCTCAAACTTGCAGTCTTTCTGTGTCAGCCTCCCAGAGTGCTGGGATGACAGGAACATGAAGGACACCTAGCTGGTCAGTGTAGTTTGCAATGGTCTGCTTGGTGCTGGAGTGCCCTGGGCCACAGAAGCAGCTCACCAGCCTGCCTTTGTCCCTGGGCCTCATCTGGGTTGCTGGGGATGATGATGGGTGGTTGGCCTTGTGTCTTCTGGCCACGGACAGCTTCTCCAGATCTGTAAGGGGCTCCTCTCCCTTCTGCTCTGCTCTGCAGATGGCGAGCCTGACGCTCAGGGCAGGTGCGGGGCTGATCCTCATACTCAACACGGGCAGGGCTGAGCTTCGCTGGCGACAGCCTAGGGCTGCTGGCTTCTGGTGATGACATTTGGCTGGGAGCTCCTGGCCAGTGTCTGGGACACAGGGTGCGGGAGGAAGTCCACCCTCAACCTGAGCCGCACCTCTCCATGTCACAACTGCCATGGTACCTGCCACTGCTGACATCTCCTGCCACTTGTCCCTTCACAGCTTTCTGGAGACCTTTTCTGTCCTCTTCACCCTCCCTCCCATTCCTTTTGGGGAGGAGGATGGAAGAGAGAAAAGCAATAAGGGAAAGCAGAAGGAGTATGGGAGCAAGAGAGCCAGGCAAGGTGAGTGTGCAGGCAGGAAGCCAGGTAGGAATGAAAGGACCAGGTAACAATGTCACTGAGGGCCTGGGGTGGCACAGTCATTGTCCAGTAGGCTTTGGTTCACAGGATGTGTGACCCAGCTGCGCAGGTAGTGACTAGAGGGATTCTGTGCCCAGCAGCAAGAGCCAGGTTTCCTTCATCAGCACCAAGAGGGGGACCTGTGTTCTCTGACCAAGCCTCAGTTTACCTCTCTGGATCATGAAAGTTTCCAGTACCTTCACTGCTCTGAAATTTTCAATCACTTGGACTTCCAGAATGGTTCTTGTTTCACTGTGGGGAACTTCCCATCAAAGTGTAGGTTTTGCTCTCTTCTCCATCGATTTCTCCTTTCACCTGGACCAGTTTTACTTCCTCATCCTGTATCTTACAAACCCTCTGGATTAAGCTGGCAGCCACGGGCGCCAATATCCTGTGTTCCCTGGCAGCTTTTGGGCAGGTGTGTATGGGGACTCACAAGGTTCTCTACCTCCTTTAAAGTAGTGCGAGTAGAATCAGAGTGCTAATTGCAGAGATACCTGGATGTCACTTCCCTTTGTCCCTTGCCTGTGTGCCTACTTCTGGATGACTGCCTGTTCCTGTTTACTTTTGACATGAGAATACCAGTCGAGCCCCAGGCTCATTTCATTCCATTTACGAGGATGAGGAGGCTCGGGAGTGTGCTCAGAGTGGCAGATGCCCTCCGGCTCTGCAGTGAAGCCCTGGGATGTGTTCAAGAAGTCCTGGAAGGTGGCTCTGGGACATATTGAATGCTGTCCTATTGTAATCTTCAAGTGTGGCAGGCTGTAATCTTGAGGAGGGTCAGCTCCATGCCTACCTGCAGGCATTGGTGTGGGGTCCAGGGTCACCTTGGAGCCTTAGGACCCTGTGGGTGAGACTCACTACATCTGAGAGTTGAGAGGGTGATACCAGGAGGGAGAAAGAGGAGGTCTTGTCCCTGTCCACACCTGCAGCCCACCTGAGCCACAGACATTCTCAGTCCCAGATGGGCACCTGTCTGTCACCTGGGAAGCTGTCACCAAGGAAGGTTGTCAGCAATGAACTTGGCCTTTGCTCTCTTCTTCTATGCACAGGGATTCTGGTCTCAGCTGACCTGGAATCTGTACCTGCGACTGCTTCTCAAGTGACTCTCGAAGCCTCCCTCGGCTGCATGTGCCCCTTGGTGGCCACCACCCAGCTAGTGTCAGTTGTCCAGTGAATGTCTCACAAGGAGTAAACTGCAGTTCTCTGACATGCAGAGAATGAAGTGCACACACGTAAAGCTGGGGCTGTGCACACACAGCCTCTTGCTTCCCTAGGGTGCGAGATGGGAGGTGCTTAACCGAGTCTCCTGTTTTAGAGCAACAGCGTCTACTAGCCATATGCAGTTATTTAAAAAGAAGATAAAATATTTAATTTCTTGGGGGCACCAGTCACATTTCAAGTGTCCAGTAGCTATGTGAGGCAGGTGGCTATCACTCCATACAGAGCGGAGAGGTGACATTTCTGTCTTCACACCAGGTTCTCTACACAGACCTGTGAGAACCCAGCACATGCTGTAGAATACAGTGGTCACTCAATAAATGCTTGCTAAATGAGGGAGAGGTTGCTGGCTGGTGCGGGAAAGGAACTGAGGTGCTGAGTAGAGCAAGCA